GGATAGAGCCTAAAATACAATGTAAAAAGACTAAAGACGTCCATATGAACCTTTTTTGTAAAACGAAATGGAAGTATGGATGAAATTTTAAGGAAAATAACCTGTATATACCTGTCCTGATGATATGGTCCGCCATCTTGGATTTTGGCCAATGACGTCATCAAATTAGCATAAATTATGCATTTTTAATGATAAAATTTACATAAAATTAATATTAGAAATCATGTGTAACTTGACATAAAACCAATAAAATTTTATTGTTGAAACGAAAATTACTAAATTTAGCAAAAATGCCTGTGAGAAACTGTGGCAACACAAAAAATTATTATCTTATTTCAATGATACAGAATTGTTGCTAACAATATTCTAGGAAAAGTCACCAAGTTTGGCCGTTCTAGCACCGGTCGTTCAGACGCTATGTGACATCAAAGTTGGCGAGAGCACTTTTAGCCCCCTTCCGGTCTAGATAGGGTTAATAGACAAAAGTCTTCAACATCTGCATAAGCATGTCGTCTCGCCCCAATGACGGCCTGAGTGTCCGAGTCAAAATCTTGTATGTCTACCTGAGCTATCATTTTTGAGATGTAAATAAAAAGGACCGGAGTTAACAAGCCCTGAGGATCGTAATCAATATACCTAGGTCATCCCTGCCGCCACAACACCTGATTATCCATAGTGAGACACAATATCTTATCCTCTCCGTTGGTTCCTAGGCCTAATCCTTTCCATGATAGCAAAAGACATTGTCACACCGTTTATGACCCATTTAGCCTCCATTTTCCGCCGATTCTTTGTATAAATCGGGGAAGTAAAGGTCTGAATACTCCGTAAAAAGGCATGTCGAGAACGTCTGAGACCGTATTTGTAAGTTAGAAGTCGTAATATACGCCGAAAACATCCAAAACAAAGATTGCGCAAGAGGACGTTGACCCCTGACCCATTGGCCAACCCGGAAGTTGCCGATCACACGTCCTGTGAACGCGTACTAAAAATACCCTCCAAACAACAATTGTTGCGCCTCGCATACAGAAGATGTATGTGCACAACAATTGTTGCGCGCCGCAGGACTAGGGTGAAAAACAAAGAATTTATTGGGATCGGACACCCCTCTGTGCAAGAGGTCATCTTCGTGGACGAGACCGACACATACCTGACACACACCAAAGGTCAACGGTCGCGACCACTTTCACGCTCAAAGGGGTGTTCTGGGGCCATCAAAAGGCTCCATTTTCACGCCTGATTTAGTGACATCTAGCGATGTATACAAAAACTGCAGTAGCACTAATGACAGGTTGTGTGTTCGGGATCTAATAAAAGTAGCCTCTACCAGGCTCCGAGAGGCGGTTGGAAAGAGTAGCAATTGGCCAAATAGAGACAACATGCCGGCGGAGTTGGTACGCTAGTTGGTTCGCTAGCGCCAAAAAAGGGCCATATATAAAAACCAAACGATCTTCCACCATCAACCTCTGCTTCGAGAGTAGGTGGAGACAACATCACATCGCTACTGTAAATCTTGTAATCTTCGAGGTGGCTCTATTTTCACGTTTTTCCCGACAGACGCACAGACACACAGACATGAAAACATAATCTTTGAAATTACCAGTAAATCATAATGTGATATAATAGAACAGGTAGCGTTTTGAGATAACTTTCCGATTGAAACGTATGGGGAGACAAGCAGAAATATCTCAGACAGAGCCATATTATAGATTGGTTGTAAGATAACAAAAATGCAGCAATGACAGTCGGCCTTTGTCTTCAAGGGGGACTCAGGTACAAGCCTGGGGGAGGCTTAGAACAGGTCACTTGTCTTATAGCACAGATAATTACACATAAACGGTTAGTTAGAGTCGCTGGTGAAAAATAGGCCGAAAATGGGTTGAGCTGTCCACCATGTCATTTATCTCGTCACTTCTTAATCGTCTGGTGACTTTAAGCACCTGGGGAGCACTACTGATCAGTAGGCCGTGTTAAGGCTCTATGTTCTAAAAGTACCCAAAATGATATGAATTTTCATCAAAACCTCGATTTTTGTTGTAAATTCGCTGCAAGAAATGATGTGTGTAGTATTCTAGTCTGAGTCGATACTTGTTCTGTCGCACACAGGATTTCTTTCGCTGGATTAATTGACGTTTCCTGAAATGATTTATTACATCCGGCATTATGACTTGTAACTTCAGACGGACAGAAGGTTTTGTCAAAATCATGCCTCAGATACTCAAAAATGTCTGAAAAGTTCCCATACGCCTATTTGTCAATACATCATGTCATGTTCAAACATACATGAATTTATTTTAAGATATCAATGTTTATCGACGTTACATCGGACCAGACGGTTGTATCTTGAATTATCAAAGCCTAGCCACGCCTACAATTATACCTGCATAGATAATGAGCTGCCTACAAATCTCTGTCCTACCTGACGAAAGGCGCACTTAAAGGGCGAGACACGGAGGTGAACAAGTCCGACCCGAAGTTTCTTCAACAACATTTGTAGCGTTTCGAAATACATGGAAACGTATGGGGCGAGAGGCAGAAATATCTTAGACATACTAATATTAATATAGATTGGTTGTAAGATAACAAAAATGCAGTAATGACAGTCGGTCTTTGTCTTCAATGGTGACTTGGGTAAAGCTTCGGGGAGGGTTAGTGCAGGTCACTTGTCTAATATCACAGATGATTATACATAAACGGTTTTATATTATTGTTGCTATGGGTAGGGCCGAGAGAGGGAGTGGAGCTGTCATTCAGTTCATTTATCTTGTCACTTCTAATATGCATGTTTGTCAGGACTTTGTGTACGCAGGGATCACTGTCGTCAAACTCCCAAACTGATGTAGGAACTTATTTTTCACACACAACTGTATTCTAGATTCTGTGCAGTTCAAGATCTCCGTACGGGATTTAAACATACTAATCAAAACTGGAAGCACACGTCCTGATCAGTTCCTGACCAAATCATCATCTCTTTTACACACCTTTAAACCCCTGGCGCATTCTACACTCCAGATCAAAGCCTCCCCCCCGAGCTTTATATGATCACTACCGTGGATATGGTCTTTTTGTGCATAGCGGCCCCTCCCCAATCAATGTTACTACATGTAGTATTATGTACCTTCCCTTTCCTTGGTGCTGAAATACCATTCTCTACTCAGCTCTAAAAGTAAAACTATTTGTTTCTTCTCCTTCCGATTCTACCCCCTCTTTGATGTTATATTCATCAAAGCTCGTGTTATTATGTCCTTATCGTAGCTGCTAACCCCTAAATATCTATTTTCACATCGAAACATAGAGATGCAAACTGTAGTAGAAACAGGCTACGTACATGGTCTAAGAGCGCTCCGCTAGCGCTATTTCTCGACATACTTAATTCAAATTGTATACGTATGCACGTATATATTCATTCGCAAAGAATTAGGTGATTTTATTCTTATGGTGACTAACAAACGAACTAAGACATTGACATGATTACATATACAGTATGTAATACATATAACAGATTGATATAAGCAGCCTATGCATAGTTGATACAATTTTATATCTAGTTGAATATTATAATGTCCCAATGATGTATCATACATACATAACAGTGTAGACAGACTATGCTGAAGCCATAGTTACATAAGTGCAGACACCCACTTGTCCCTTCAAACCAAGCCCAGTCAGCCGTTCTATAAGGTGCTGTCGTAACTAGCACTGTGTTTGTCAAGCCTCTCCAATACGTGTCCTACTGCATCAAGTATATCTGACGGAGTGTCTTTTTGAACCTGTAACTTCCGCCGTCTAATTTTTGACGCGGCGGTCTTTACTTTGCTTCCTGCACTTGATGTTATTTGTTTTAAAAACGCCACAAACCCGACATCTTCTGGATTTGCCTCCTGCTTGTGCTGTGCGTATATGTCCATAATGATGGCCATAAACATGCTTAGTAAGAAAAACCGCATCATGACTTGATACCAGAAAAAGAACATTGGACCTAGTATTCTATTTCCATCCAGCAGAGCCGCAAAGTTAAAGCTGCCCAACATCATAAGGAGAAGACTCTGTAAACTTGAGGACATGTTCATGAAACGTTTCAGCTTGGTACCAAAGACCAAATTGGCCATCGTGGTGAAAGCTGTAACTATTATGGCCACCGTAATCATAAAGCGTGCCACCTGCTTGAACGATCTCTTCATTGTCATGGATAAGGCGTACACGTGGGAGTTGAAGCGCAGTATGCGGAGAAATTTCAACGTGGCACAGCAGAGGAACAGGCCCAGGAGAAAACTGTAGACCTGGAACCAGTCGACAGCGTCTTTGTACATAATAAAGGCATTATTGCCGACTGTTCTCTGCTCTAATAGCTCATCAATGATGTCTTGTGAGTAGAAGTACATACACAGGGTGCAGAAGCCGACGGCGATGGTGACCAGTTCCAACCAGTTCCAGGCGTCATTCACGTATTCCAATGGTCGGAAAAAGAGCTTTTTTCCTGTGATTAAGTAAAATAAATGTTTTAAATCATTACATATTTGTTTTGGCTTGTGAAAACAACAGTATCTCATGGGAATTAGTGTTTTATATATATATATATATATATATATACATGTATATGTGTGTGTGTGTGTGTGTGTGTGTGTGTGTGTGTGTATACGCGCGTGCGATCGGGTTTGTGTTTTGTCGCTGTACAACATGAGTCCTTACATTGTAAAAGGTTGAACTTTATGAGTCCTTACCTTCTGTAAACATAAAATACAGTAGAAAAAGCATCAGACAACCTCGCAGTAACAAAAGCAAGACGGCATCGTGTTGGATCAGACGCACGGTGATGACGTCATGACTTGTATAAGCTGCTCCAAGATTGGTGAACTCCACAGCCAATGATAAGACAGTAAACAGGTTGACGTGCGGGTTGTACAGTACGAGTTCGACAAACACTGCCCGGGTCTGGTCGTCCAACCAGTTGTGTTGTCGTAAATAGGTGGTTATGTTGAAACGTGACCTCTCTGTGGTTCCTAAAGAGGCGATGTAACCACCGCCACGGTACGTGCCATGTTCACCAACATACGGGATACCTGGGGGTTAGGAGAATAAGTGACATTTATGTAGTAATGTGTGTAGCAATTTAATAACACTTTGTACACAGACCGGACCTTTGTGTCATCCCTCGACCGGTGGAGGGGGTGGGGGTGATATCTTCTTCCTTAACTCCTCAAATACATTTCGTATGACCACCAAATGTTTAGAGGGTGGTGTACTAGCAAAATTAGTTACGTCATTATATGTACTTTTCGGCTAAAATCGCATGTGTATGCTTCTATTTCCCATAAAACGAAAGCGTATGCAAGAAAGATTAATTTAATCAACAGCGTGTAATCCTGATACAATGTAAGTTCTCGTATGTAAGTCATCGTATTGATGTTCCATCGATCGTCTCAATTTTCAAACCAAAAATACATAATTATTGGTTAAGATAATTAAACGCATACCACTTGCGAACGACACAGTAGATGTATACTTCCACATATCTTGCAAGTGGACCTGTTCTGTAGCACAGTCATTATACTCGAAAGATCCTGTGACAGTGGGTGGTACGAGGTTCTTGTTACATTCCTCATTTTCTCCACGAGTAGAATCATTAAAAATCCAGCCTTGTGAGAAATTCCGCTTGTCCGATACTCCATCAGAGTATGCTGAGGTACATCGAGACATTGCAGCCTTCATTTGGTAAGGTATTTCACAATGTGAGTCTGCAAGTTTGAAGATGGCGGAAGTAAATTAGGACACTTTGCTTTACAGTTGATTTTTTACAAACAACTTTTAGCTTTTGGAATAAACTTTTCTAAAAACCAGGATTCGACCAGGGACGTAATCGATTCACGACTTACAATAGATTCTCCTTTTTGAAGTCTTTTGCAATTGAAATTTGCATTTTCGCTACACAGTAATGACATGGCTGTCTACATTGACACTTACCTGGTTGTAACCTGACTTGCCGTAGCTGTACTTGTCCGATAGGGTATGAAAACTTTAACGTCTCTTTTTGTTTTGCAGGGAGAAAACTTTGAGTGAGCCAAGTCCAAAACGAAGAGATATCCTTGACCTAGAAGAGCATGGTAGAGTATCATTGAAATTCTGCAAACAATCTTGAAGGATAAAGATATATTGGAGGTGAAAACAAATTATATCCCCATAAACTCTGACCATATTTTATTGAATAAATCTTTTTTTACTTTATTATACTTGTTTGGTTTTTGTCAAAACCGGTGTCGTTTTAACCGTTTATGCCAAGTAGACTTCGGAAGAAAACATGACAGCTTCACATAAAGGCTTAATGGTACTATGGATTATACGCTGTACCTCTGTGACATCACCGCCGTCAAGAATAACGTTTTGTTCGTGTTGAGTCATGTGGTAAGCCAACGGGCTCCTTTCCATGTAGGACGTCATCATGAGGACCGTGAAGAACAGCCAGAAGACTAGAACCTCGACAACAACCTCACGCCGTCTTCTCTTTTCTCTCTGTTCAGTCAGACGGGCCTCCATGGACGGTGGCTCATGGTCAGGAGCTGGGTTCTTTTTGATGTTGTTGAAAAAAACGCACAAAAACACAATTATTAATCACAAATTACTAAACTAGCAGGGAATTCAAAAGGAATTTTACCTACATTATTGAAAAGTACAGGGTGCTAGTGCCCTTACAGTTGAATAGCCTGACCTACGATCCTACGCTTGAGGTTTAAGTTGGTAAATGTATATATGTTGTATATCTTGTACCTTTTTGTGATTGACATGATGATCTCTTGGTGCGTCCTCGTTAAAATAAAGCTTCCATCTTTTTGCCGTCGTCAAAGGGTTGGGGCTGTCTTGGTTTGTCTTTGATAAAAAGAGATAAGGAACAACAATTATCATGTTTAAGACATTCATTTGTGTTTTATATTACCTTCCTCTGCTATTATTGCTATTTAAACTATTGAGTTCAAATGTCTGAATTAGAAAATGTTTAACGAGCACAAATTACCTGAAGATATTCCTCGTCGTTTTGTAGTGAAGCTGGTGGAGGATCCTCGTCTTCCACAGGCTTCTGTTTTATTTTCACACCATACAAAGAACGTATCATTATATATACAATTTCATAATTACATACTAGTATATTATTACATATATGACTATGAAGTAGTGTTTAGTCCTTTTTATCGTTTTTTTCCACTGGAATTTTTGCACCTTTTGCACTTTTCTTTTCACAAAAAAATTCCGAACCAAAAAAAAAAAGAAACCCCGATTAAAAAAAAGTCTACAACACGCTAAAAAACCAAAGCCCAGACCTCTGCTTAGAGAGTAGACATACCAAAGAAACAACAATTTACATTGGAATTGGACGTCTTGAGATACCTTTGCAAGTAAACCAAACATCACGGCCACGGCCAACAGCTTGAAAGGTTGCGTGAGAAACAAGTCGATGACAAACGTCGTCAGAAAAGTCACGATCCAAGCTTCTGCCTTTGCACGTCCAAAACTTAACGTGTAGAGGACGGTGAAGTACGCCGCTGTGAAACCAGCTGCCCAGAGGAGAACCCACGCTGTAGGAACAGGATGATAAAACATTCATATAACAAAGAGGAATATCTTGAGATAGCAAAATGTACGTCACAGATGTACCGTTACAAAACTAAAAAGCAGTTGTCACAAATTACAAATCAAACCAGGAAGACATAACCCCGCTTCTTTGCAGAGCGGCAAAGAATCTGCCAAATCTGTAGTTTAGATTATTTAAAAGTATATTGCATGTGTCAGTATAAGCCTTCTGATACCGGTTTACATCGTTTTCTAGACAAGTAGAATACAAAGCAGCCGATGCCCCACATTCAGAAGAGCAATGTATTCACTCACCTATGTAGAGTGTCCACCATGGAAAAGAAAACTTGTTCCTGTTTGCCGATGAGTTGGTCTCTGCTGCTGGAAGACAGGACTCGACCTTGCCTGTCGGTGACTCTGAATGTTCTGTGGAGCCGCTAGAAAACGCAGGATACTTCGGCGCTTTTACCCCATACGACCAAACTGTTGGTCGTACACCTGGGTCGTCACTGGTCGATGTAAAGGATGTCGTGTTGTTCTCCCGCTTTGCCGTCTTGGCTGTTGTACTTGTCTTCTTATCTTTGTTGTCGGCCTTGGTTGTCGAGTTGGAATGTCGAAACAGGAAGACGATGAGAAGATTGACAGGCAAGATGATGGCTGCGGTCTGGATACTTATCATCATCTGAAAATGATTACGTTGATACAACTTCTGTTGTAACATTAGAATGCAAATGAATCTGAAGTTTAACAATCAAGCTACATATATAAAAAATAATAATAACTACTAATATCCAACTGGAACGCTCTAATTGCCTCATGTTTCGGACGGCACGGGAGCCCCAATAGGCCGTCTTCACATTAAGCTCGCAAAACCTCGACCCTTGCCTCACACCTGGTCCGCGCACCGCACGTTTCTTTGCAATCGTGCCCAAAGGTGTCCAAGCTGTAATCCTTGATAGTTTGGGAGGTGATATGGATGGAGCAAGTTTCAATGTGAGCCACAACGGAGCCACATCAATCCCAATTTGGTGGATTCCGGATTCAATCGCGAGCTTGATGTGAAGAGGGCCTAAGTCTAAGTAAGTAATATCCAGCTGGTCATGACAAAAAAGACAAATATTAACTTCAGTCAATGCATTTACATGTGCGAGGATCTGCTTAGCTATTCTAAATAAATATAAAGACCAGTGGACCAATGTTAGAAAATTCAACCCCGTCCTAAGGATACGGGCTGATTTTCAGTATCATGTAGTTCGTTCGGATAACAACCACTTACAATACAATACAGTGTAATATATAGGGAAATCATATCTAATTTCTCTTTTTAACACAATTTATATGAAATTTGGATGCCATTTTTTATTCCTTTACCACTGATAAATATATAAATTTTGTGGTAACGTCAATGGTAAATCATAACACCGCCAGATTTTCTAATAATGTCTTAAATTATTCATATTTACCTGTGCCAAGGAAACAGGTGACTTGATTACCAGTCCTGCGAATCGGATTGGGGCCGGTGGGTCAAAGTCGTCACCGCGACCGAAGAACATGATGTTGGTAAACATGGTGCTGTACAAGAGGGTCAGGCAGCACGACAGGCGCTGGGCTCGGGTGAAAGGGCTTCGCGCCGGGCGACCAAGCACCGAGAACCACACATGGTCATCGTTCATGTCCCTGACAAATGTAAAGGTGAGATTTATGTTCCTAGAGGTGTAAAGATGGGGCTAGGTCAACATAAAGGTAAGGTGTAAAGAACTAAATGACAAACCTTGAGAAAAATGTTAGACATTATTACAGACGATGGAGATGGTTAGGTCACATATGCCGCATGCCATCAGATAGTATCACCAGAACAGCTCTAAGATAGACGCCTCAGGGCAGGAGACCTAGAGGACGACCGAAGGAAACATGGCGAAGAACCATCGAGAAAGAAGTACGGAGCCATGGTTTCACTCTCGATGAGGCACCATAGATGGCAGCGGACCGGGCCAGATGGAAGAGCTACCTTCTGCCTTAAGAGCCATGCTGGCTCAGAAGAGGACTAAGTAAGTAAGTAAGTAAGTAAGGTGTAAAGATGGGGCTAGGTCAACATAAAGGTAAGATCTAATCAAAGAACTAAATGACAAACCATGAGAAAAATGTTAGACATTATGAACAGAATTGATCGTAATGATACAGTGCTGCTTTGTAATCGCCGGAAATCTAGCCGCACTTGCTGTTAAGTATCGTTTCTAAGTTAGGCCACACTGATAAATTTTATGGATGACACATGGAGCCTCCGTAGCCTGGGTGGGTGCCGTCCTCCGTAGTTACCGCCGGTTCCCTGTTGTCGCTAGCTACCATAGACTATACGGAGGATGGCACCCAGGTCAGAGCCTCAGAGTAGGTAATTTTTTTTTTACAACAGGCGAAAATCAATGCGCGCGCGGATGCCATCCATAATATTATATCAGTGTGACGTCATGTCTTAACTTAGCATTACAAGTCAGAGGCCCAGTAGTTTGACTATCGATGTCTTCTTCCTTGAATTACCTCGCGCTTTTAGCCAGGAACAGGTTACGGGAGTTGGTCATCTCGTCTGGTGTAGCTTTTGGGAGGACGCGGTGAACTTTCCCATCGTCCTCGTCAGCTGCCAGCCACCTTTTGTTTCAAAATTAGTTAGTATTAAGATCTATTACTTACATAACGTTTGGATCACTTTTGTAAGATAATGATCTAGTATCTATAATTATTTTAAACCTACATGTATCACGCAGCACCTGTGATCTATGGTTATTCTATCGACTACTACGATCTATAATTATTTTAAAACCATCACGTTTTCTGACCTGAAAATATTTAAGAAGTAGATAAATGATAAATAATCAAGTCTTAAAGTATATTAATCCCTGCATTTTTTTTTACAAAGGCTTACCTGTTACACAGAAAATAGCTAGTCTCACCAGTCCCTCTGTTCGTCACGACAATCTGCCTTAAGAACCTGACATAAAGGTAGACTGAATCAGTTATTTGTAATTGTGAGCTGGCTTTCAAACGAGAGGACTCACCACATGTTGTACTTTCTCGTCAGGTATAAAAGCCACTTTTCACTTAGAATGACTTTACAGTCGTTAAGCCGTGGTCCACTGTTCATTGTGCTTGTCGAAAAGAGCTAGGGGAATTTCCCCGGTACAATGAACCTGTAAATACCGTACATAGCGTCTGTCTTCTCTGTCACGACCAGTGGAAGATTAGCTCTTCAGTGAGCTAAACTGGCTCGAGATCACTTTAACTTTCACAGTCGTCATTAATAAATCACAAATTAAAGTAAAGTCGACGTCCCTGTGGCAACACATATTCACGGACTCAAGTCTAACGCCCCCAAACATAGGGTGGGTCGGAGCAAAGACGGTTGGTGTTGGGCGAGGTCGGCTGCGTCATTCGAATGTTTCACTGGATGTTTAAAACATAAATCGGGACTGAAGCAGTGTTCGGGGCGTGTTCTTTCGTAAATCTGACTCAATCAAATTAGTTTCAATTCACACAGGAAAATAGGCGTGACCTACATATGGTCAGACTGCTCCCGAACTTCAGCATGTTCGGGAACAATTTTTTTGCTGGGGGAGGGGGGGGGCGTGGACGTGTGACAGGGACTTACTAGTAAAAGAAAATATAATCAATATTTTACGTATGACTCACCACCCCGGACTGTGCCCTCCACTGTCATGCCACACACGCACGTGGGTCAGACCTCCAATTGGTTGTTCTGTAGACACAAGAAAGGCATCCACGCCGCCTTTCTCAAACAGAAACCGTGTTTGGTCACGGAGAGTGAACGGAGTGGCTTCTTCATATAGGCTATTAAGAGCTATCTTCACCTAAAATCACAAAACAGAAGTTGGGGTATTTACATTTTAGTATCGGTGTGCTTTCGCGTATATATTATGCAAACTTACATTTCGAGCACCTTTTCTAGATCTACATAACAACTCTGAAGACATGATAGAACTGATAGAACTTATAGAATCTTTAAATCTCTTGATAACAATTATTTGAGACAAAGAATGGATGAATTAATAAATATGATTATATTCATATTAACCTATCAACAAATGTTTTGCAACGTTTATAGTATATTTTCCTCTCTCCTGTGGGTTTGTCTGTAACGATACTTCACCTTAATCCGCAGAGTAACAAATCCATGATTTTTAAAACGTGGTTTTTAGGGATATATGCCAGATGAAACATCAGTAAGTAAGACTGCCAGAAAGGCAATATTGAACGTATTCAGAACACTGTCTGAAAAGCTTCGATAAACCTGCATTTCCAGGCGTCGACATCAAATACTTTCAACTGCAGATTGGAGCAGACTTTACTTACATGTACGTCATGGTAGGATCTGAACTACGGTGTTCGTTCGCTGGAACAAATCATTTTTACAACGTAGCCGTGTGGAACTTTTGTCGTGTCGTGTTTTTGTGCTTAGTCAAGTTGTTTATATCTTTAGTAATTTTCAACCCACTAAAGCGACGATCACAACCCGCCGTACGTGCTTCTGCGTGCTGTCTACGTGCAAAAACGTGGGCAAACGTAGGGCATCCGTGCGTGGTGAGTACCACCTCCGTACGGAATCCTACGGATTTGGGAGCACGCAGACACGCCGTAGAACTTTAAGTGCATGTAAAACTTTTTCTGCGTGCGGTCTGCGGATTCACCACCCGTACGTGTGAGTACGGGCGACGCGCGTGCCCCGTACGTATCGTACGAAAGACGCACGTGTGAGAGTACGGCCCCCTTACGGTAAAGTTGCAATCGCACAGAGATCGTACGTTGTAAGCACGTACAACTCACTTACCACTTGCGCAACGTACGATGCACGCAACCGCTCACGGCCAGACTTGGCGTGCAGACCACACTCTTACACCTTACGAAACCGTGCGAGTGACGTGCGTCGATGCCACTCCTTCCCCACGTTTTCAGACAAAGCGCAGCAGACGTAGCCTCCCAAAAACGTACGGACAAAAAGTACGTACGGCGGGTTGTGCCAGAGGCTTGAAGGACCAACAACTTTTTGTTTTAAACCTAAGGTAATTTCCTCGCGGAGAACGGTTACCTTGACATAAATGTGCCGCCGGTCAAAACACAACATGCGGTACAAAGAAATATAGCATGTGCGAGTATAGCTGCCAGTTACAAGGTAATTAATAATATTGGTATGTAACAGATCTAGAAAGACATGACGGTTCATTCTTTCCCCGTTATATTGGTGTAAATTAATTTTTTTATGATAAATGCATCGGATTTAGATAATCTAGCTTTCCGTACCTCTGCTGTTGTCCCGGCGTTAGTTCCATATCCGGTGTAAACAGTGATGATATATTGGCAATCCTTCCTAGTGTTCAGCACGTGACCAGGTAAGATTCCGATTCCAGCCTACCAAAAAATATAAAACCTGTCATTTACACATTTTCATTGAAACAATATTTGCAAAAAAAAAACATTGATTTGGCAGTCGGACTGAAGTTTTCACCAATACATAAGGAAAGTTCATCTGGGTTGGTATAGTCACAGTACGATGCTGAATTTATTCGAACTCAAGGGTAAAAAAGGATCAAATTTTCAACGAACATTGTGGCCTTCATTAGGATATGTAATGATCAATCACTTCCTAACGTAAGCCACCGGGCAACGCCGTTTCACTGGACAAATAAGACTGGACATTGAGCAAACTTGTTTTTGAGACGCCATATACACCAGGTCACTGCAGCTATCAGTAAACAGAGACGGTGGACGATATAAACTGCCTGGCACATATGACCAATTGGTGACGTCACGTATGCCTAAAGTCTCGTGTGAATAAGATCATGTGTTCGTAACTCTCGCAGATTTACGTTCGGGAGTGATTGGTCATTTCTTATCCAAATGAAGACGACAGTGGTCGCTAAAAGTTTAATCCTTGTGCAGCCTGGTTACGGAAAAAGTTTAGCATTGTACTATGGATTTTCCCTGGTCAATCTTCTATGATCAGTTAGATATGTATTACATGTATTAGATGTAGCACCTGTATTAGATTAATCGGTTACATGTTTTAGACAGATTAATAAAAATGCAATTATAAAGTTGTAAATACCTTTTGCACATCTTTTTTATCTGTTCTTCTTGACCAAACCATACCAGGAAGGTACAAGGCGAATATTGTTAAGACAACAATGAGTCCTATAGGGTTTTCCAGTAACAATTTTACCCAACTATGATTATTTGGAATACTCTGATACAACAGGTGTCTGGGACCCTTTTTCAGGCCTAAGGCACTGGTCTGGGGCTATTGGTGAGGCCCAGACAGCCCAGGCTTGTATCTATGTTCGATTTCGGCCGTGTGCCTGCTCGATGGCCTCAGACTTTTTTCGAACACGAATCGATCATGATCCACTTTGTTCGATTTGACGTCATTCGATCAGAACGCGTGTTCGATTTGGGGTCACTGGAGGTCATTTGTATGTTTTCCCATAAACCCGCGTTGTCGCGCACTTTTCCTCGGGTTATGACGTTTACGGCTTTACGCGCAGCTAAAAAAATCGACCTTTATAGTAATCAGGTTTTATCCTTTATGCCCTACGTATTAAAATTGTGCGAGGCTATTTCGCACGTGCACAGATTTTTATGTTTGCTCTCCTTAATATGTAGAATATCACGAAGAAAGGTGTTGCTACCGCCTGCGCATAGACTCATGAAATAAACGGCTATATTTTAACCAAAATATGAATTTTTTATCCAAAATCCAGCAGAAGAAAAACTTTTATTCAGTGTGTTTCAAGCACTACTAAAACTGTGTGAAGTTTCAGCCTGGCCCGCGTTAACCCAGGCGAGTACGACATAGTGTATGCAATGAAGATGGTTATCCAGGCCACGGAAGTCTAACCGACCAAAATCTCACGGCTGCCCTTCACACCTACATTTCACAAACAAATTGTTTCTAAGTCCTTCCATCTGTTTACCCCAGCTACATACCCTCCTCAACATGACGTCTGCTCTCCAAAAACATGTATGTAACTTTACTTGCTAAGCCTAAATATATAAGCTTCAATTGCAAAGTCTTAATATTAATTTAGTCATGTCATATGTATATAAGCTATATGTGTATGTCCGTAGATTTTGTTAAGCTTGTTGCCCGAAATCAGCTATCTACTGACTGGGTAGCAACTGTATTGCATTGTTGCAATAAATAAATGAAAATGCTGCCTTTGAAATGATGAAGTAAAAAGGAAGAAGTGTATGATCAGAAATGTTGCGTTTGGCATGCCACACGGATAAACAGATTGGCAAATTTAGGTTTACTGGCACTGTGTTTAGGTTTATTTAGTATGCCATTTTTTGGTAAATATGATCTGTTAAGATGACTAATACATGTAAGTCTACGGATGATACGAATTGTCTCATATGTGTCATACAACATTACATGAGAACAAAGTATGTATGTTTGAGATTTTTAGTCTGTACCTGACGCATGGAGATGTCTGCGAAAAGATGCACATCCGGGTACCAAGGGAAAAGGTTGTTTAGGTAGATATCGTCCATAATGTCCAATGCTTGAAACCCAACGGTGGTGGCTTCTTGGTTCTACATAATCATAGTGATGTATCACGATCGTTATCACACCCTACTACTACTACTACAAAATGTGAATCGTTATAAAAAGCGATTGGAACATTTACCGAGCTACCAATAGGACACAAAGATTTTCTTCTTCAACAACCGATAGTGTTTCTTACATGCCTCAACCGAGACGAGGGGGGATACAGACTAGCCACGTTTGGGATTGTGTTCTCACCGCAAAAGCAGTACCTTTTTATTGGCTACATATAGCACTCCAGTCAAAAGCTCTGAGAAAGGTGTCTGACAGACATCTAAACGTAAGCAGGTGAGAAACGTTTAATTTATCGAGTGTGTAAGAAGAAAAACTCTATATCCTATATACTCGTAATGATAAAAGTATTTTCGGGAGAGCTACGAAAAATTCGCCTTAAAGCCCCTGTCACACATCCACGACCTTCCCCCGGATTAAAATAATTTCAATATTTGCTGAATTTATGTTACAAAATGCCCTTTTAAAAGCATGTTTCCTATAGACATGTTACTAACATTTAGCAGGTTGGGTGTGTAACCATCATGATGCTCCAAAGCGGCCATGTGGTGAGAAGCTATAAACACGTTTACAACCCCTGTAGATGTATGGATAAATGCAACAGAAAAAAAACAGTTTAGAGACTTCATAACTTCGTAAGATATACAAGGCTTTAGTACATGTCTTGTTGTATATATTTCCTGTTAAAATATTGTACGTTTCTATTTTAAAAACAAACAAACAATACTTTAGATATTAGAGAGGTTTGCGCATACTATGTTGCCACTACGTTTATGTAATTGTACATTATTATTAAAATTAATTTTTTTAAGTCCACCCGTTGTACTTAACTGATAATTTCGGGAACATTAATCTTCGTGATATATACGGAAAAATTTAGAAATTGATTTCGTTAGATTTTAAATAAAGCCTTAGAAAAGAGGTGAAGATGGGGCAGTCTAAAATGAGATAGGTCAGACAAGGAGACAACACGTTACTGTATACCCATGTGCTATATTGGATGTAAAACTTATTAATAAAAAGATGTCCACAACAATTTGATAATAAAAGAACAAAAAAATACATGTACCTGTGAATATAGTTGCTGTTAATCTGTTAACATCCTGCACGGAGTTTACTGCCAGGTTTCTTGCCAGTTCTCTTGTTTGATAGAATGTGTTTTTCAGTGTGTAGGAAGCTAACACCTGTAAATATGCATGGGGACGAGATAGTGCGGGTGTCAGTGTATGTATGTATTTAATCGAATCGGGCAAAAAATAGAAAGAGGGCTACACATTAAATGTACGCAAAATTTTAAATATCATGTTCGTTCCAATGGCTGTACTGATTCGCAATCAACAACATTAAAAATTACGGCCATATCTGAAAGTTATATTACCAAAATATAAATATACACTTTGGTAACATCCACTTACCTGTGACTTTCCCGACACCATCTCAGTGACATTTGTTACCATGGTAACGGACAGAGACACACCCCATATGCTCTCTTTGTCTGGTGTTGCCACCCTCCATAGTGCGTATATTACTTTCTCTGTTACCTTCACAAAAATGCCAGAGATATATGAACCTGCTTTGTACAAGTATAGGTAGTACTCTTCCTAATATGACATATGTTATTTCTGAAATGCTTGATACAATGGTGATAGAATATCAACACAGACATAAAGTTTGTGATATGTTAAGATAATGATTTGTTTGGAAAATAAGCGAGGTCACTTACATCTAATTTAGCCTTAAAGGGAAGATATTGCGATATTTAATTATCCCCTATGGTTTCTATACGCCAAAAAGCAATTACTCAAGCAACTGGATATGACTTTGGTCAGACGTTTCAGCTAGTATCCACTAGCTTTCGTCAGTGACTAAGAGACCAGAGAAGAAATGCAGGTTTATAAGCACAAACTATTGATTGATATGCAAACTAGAGTTCCCCGATCTCATACCTTCGCCAAATGATGTTAATCTTTATGACTGACAAAGTTTAGATTAGATTATTCCCCCCTGATTTAAGAAATAGAAACCTAATTTTCATGAATTATATCATTTTATCATAATCTCAACCAAAAGACAGTCTTATATTAACAAAGAATGCATTCTAGCATTTCCTAATAAATTATGCAAATGAGGTACTGATTTGAATAAATTATGTTTAATGATGTTCACCTCAATTTAACTTTCAAATACCACAAGTATGAAATTCCAGGCTGTTATCATTACATAATTATAAAATTTTCTCATTAATTATGCAAATTAAGTCATTATTAACATAATCAACATCTTCCTGTGTTTCTCTCATTGTCAATTACCAATGTCACAAGCTTTAATTGTCCTATCATGGAATGCAGCTGATTTATAGAATTTCCCCATAAATTATGCAAATTACATCCATATTTGCATAATTGTCACATAATTATATTAAACATCACGTAAGCTACCTACATACCAAAAATCACGACGATCCGTCAACCGGTTCTTGAGTTATCCCCTTTTGAATATTTTCAAGAATTTATCCCTGCAGTTCCAGAGCAAGCCGCTAGGGGGCCTAAACTCACGTCACTTCTTTCCCAGCACAAGAGCTACCTACCATCTAAATTTCATCACCATAGCATGTCTAGATCATGAGATATCAAAACCGGAAGCTGCAGTACCATAACAAGCCGCTAGGGGGTCCAAAATCTAATCATTTTGAGGTCTCATCAAGACCTACCCACCTACCAAGTATCAAGATAATCCATCAAGGCCTTCTCAAGTTATCGTGTTTACAGACAGACAGACAGACAGACAGACAGACAGACACACACACACACACACACACACACACACATACACGAACGCCCCTGAAAACATAACCTTCTTGGCGAAGGTAATAAGTGAAGACGTGTGGTTTCTATACTTATTCTCTTCACAATAGGAAAGATTTTTGCAGAAAGCAGCAACATTACACCTTTTCAGGGACTATGCGAAACCCTATGTCACGCCGTTAAATAACGGTCACATTTCAAATCATACCTCCATTGTGTCATGCCCATTGTTGGACAAGTGTCTTGTCACATATGAGGCCACGAGGGATCCTGTTAGAACGTTTTCCATATCTCCTATATGGATCTGCGTGAAGAAGGTGCCATTTGGGTAGGTCATGTAGTCATCAATGTATTCTTCGAATTGAGAGATATTGATTGGAGAACGTATCTGTAGGACAAACATTCTAGATGTCAGATTTCATGTTTTCGATGTAATCAGGCACTTTTATAATTATCTGACAATAATTGGCACAGAAAAATAAATGTGACATCTATGAGCATTTAATATTTAACCATCAGTGTATTTGTATAATTTGATAATCAATGTTCATTGATAAACTTCATCATACAGTTTAATGAATAATGTTAATCTAAGATTTAAATATAAAAGAAATACATGTATCAGTAAAACGTATCATTCATATGTGTAATTTAGATATTTCAGGTCCTTAACCCTATCTAGACGGGGGGGGGTCCTTAACCCTATCTAGACGGGGGGGGGGTGCCAGCGGCAACTTTGATGTCACATAGCGTCTGAACGGCTAGCCGTAGAACGGCCAAACTTGGTGACTTTTCCTAGAATATTGTTGGCAACAAGTCAGTGTCATTAAAAAAGATAATTTTTTTGTGTTGCCATGGCAACGGGTTTCTGACAGGCATTTTTTTGCTAAATTTAGTAATTTTCGATTCAACGATAGAATTTTATGGGTTTTATGTCAAGTTACACATAGTTTCTAATATTAATAACATCCCACATTATTATATATAAATTTATCATTGAATATGCAAAATGTATGCTAATTCGATGACGTCATTGGCCAAAATCCAAGATGGCGGACCATATCATTAGAACTGGTATATACAGGTTATTTTCCTTAAAATTTCATCAATACTTCAATTTCTTCTTACAAAAAGGTTCATATGAACGTCTTTAGTCTGTTTACAATGTAGTTTAGGCTGTATCCTGAAAAAAACTATTTTTGAAAATTCAAGATTCATGATCCAAGATGGCGGATAGCTTAAATATGCATGACGTCATTTTATGACATCACCGGTGTTGCTATTGGCAACATAAGACTTATTATACCCTAATATTCTGTCATAAACAATTTTGGCAAAGTTATGTTGTGTACCATTTAGTTTTCAGGGTGTAACCTATCTAGACGGTTTTGGCCAATAAAATCGTTATAACGTAAAAATTGTAGTTATG